AGGAACTCCAGGATTGAGAAGACTCCCCCAAATGATGCAGGTTGGTAGCTTCTCTCCAATTCATCTAGAGAGCACCCTGAAATGAAGGCACTTGTTCGAGGTCACCAAACCATTATGTATCAGAGGGGAATCTTGAACCCAGATCTCCTTAGCTTTGAGGCCAGCTTTTGATCCACAACACCATGCAGCCTTCTTATACTACATCCATCTAAAAGAAAAGCAGTGAATAATCCGTGAAGGGTGTGTTTTATTCAGCAAAGGATGCGAACCTATTTTTAAAAACTGAAATGACACCACAAAGAGGGAAAATAGAGCAACAAAATAAATTTGCAAATCCAGTTCTGTTTCTTTCCCCCAAGGCTTTCCCACACACGGCTGCCAGGTAGCAGAGTAGTTAGCAGTCAGTGAAAGTGAGAGCAGTTTCAGCCCCTCCACTGGATTCTCTTCCCCACACAGGCCCACCACCTCTATTCCCTGGGCACCAAGGGCTTCGAATCACATTAAATTCTTTCCCTAAAATATAACATTTAGAAGATTTCTCTCAAAAACACCACTGAATCCCTGTACTTTTTAAAAAAGAGGCCTTTGGTGTGATCTCTGAAATAATGAACTGTATGTAGTACCAAGGCGAGGATGACCCACTTGATATTTATGGGTTTAAAATCATTATGGATTTCAAGGGCAAGTTTGAAGAAAATTGTAAAGAAGCTAAGACTAATCGAAGTAATCCACTATTACAGATGAGCAAGTCAGGCCAAACACATTATTTTTGGTTTAAACACCAGCAATTCTTAAATGCACAATTCAAACACAGACTCCTTCCTCTGTTGAGCTATTTCCCTAATTTTGTTTCTAGTTAAGAAAAATGATGAATGTCACAATCCCTCAGCTTTAATGATTATTCTTTCTAAAAAAAAATCATAGTATCAGATCAGCTCCCTGTATTTGTCCTCCAACTGCCCTTTTCAGTTTTTGAAGAAGAGGGCCAGGTTTGAGGTATTGGGGATTCTTTCTGGATCTTGTGGAATTTTCACTTTTGATTAAAGTTTAGTAAAAGGCAGCTGAATGCAAAGGTACCTCTGACATGAAGAAAGTCTGTTTTTTTACCCTCCGGGTCAGGGGTTCTTATTCTGGGGTCTGTGAACTTGGACTTTCAATGTGTTGACTAATGTGTTTTAATATCATTGGCTTCCTTTGTAATCTTATTCATTTTAATATATGCATTTAAAAAGATTCTTCTGAGAAGTTGTCTGTAGACTTTACCAAGCACGCCAAAGGTGTCTGGGATACAGAAAATGGTTAAGAACCTCTGTTCTGGATAATTCACTACAGCATTCCTTGAGGTAGCCTGTATAGTGGAAATAGCAACAAATTTGGGTGTCAGTCAATCTAAAAGCATTCATTAAGCACCTCCTGTATACCAGGCAGGGAATTAAGCACTGAGAATGATGAAGAAAGGCAAAAGACAGTTCCTGTTCTCAAGATGCTTGAGATCTGTTGGGAGCCAGGGACTTAGGTTAGAATCCTGTCTCTGACCTTTACCAATTGTGTGTCCTTGGACAAGTTAACCTTTTGAATTTCAGTCTTCTTTTTTGTAAAGTAGGAATAAAATACTTTCTTCACAACATAACATAAACGGGAGTTATTATTTTCACTCTTATTATCTTGAGAAAAGGCAATACCCAAATGTTACTTCAAGGCTTCATTCTTTTCATCTTTCTTTGTATAGTCAGCTCTTACTATAGTTCCTGGCACGTAATAGGCACTTAATAATGCTTCTTGTCTTGACTTGATTCATTGGCCAATGTCTAGCAGTTTGTACTTCATTTGCATGTCTGCAGTAGTGTTACTAGTAGCAATAATTGCAATAGTAGTAGTAACAGTAATAGTAGTAGTAGTAATAGTAGTAGTGGTTACTCAATTCAGAGCTTCATTGTTTTCTCCTTTCTTTGTATCTCCAGCTCTTAGTATAGCTCCTGGCACATAGTAGGCACTTAATAATGCTTGTTGACTTGACTTGATTTCATTGGCATTGACTTGATTTCATTTAAGCAGTTTGTACTTCATTTCCATGACTTTAGTAGTATCACTAGTAGTATTAGTTATAGTGATAGTAATAGTAGTAGTGATGGTAGCAGTAGTAATAGCATAGTAGTAATGGTAGTAGCAGTAGTAGTAATGGTGGTGGTGGTAGTCGTAGTAGTAATGGTAGCAGTAATGAATGTTATATTCGTATAGCACTTTAAGATTCGCAAAGTTCTTTACATGTGTTGTCTCATTTGATCCTCAGAATATTGCCGTGAGGTAATTAGGTACTGTTACTATCCTGTCTTATAGCTGAAGAAACTAAAGGTCAGAGAAAATAAGGGACTTGGATAGGGGCATACAGCTAGTAAGTATCTGAGGCAGAATTTGAAACCAAGTCATCCTACTTCTGAGTCTAGCACTCCATCCACACCTCCACCATGCCTCTTATAGAAGGGGATGGATATGGTGATGACCATCTTATATGGGACAAGTCAACGCCATCTTTGTTGGCTTTCCAAGAGTGGTGGTAATGGGGATACTCCCTGGTCATTGTGAAAAAGTTTCTGATTAGTGTGAATTTCAGTTTAAAAGATGTCCTCAATTCTATTTCTCACTTAGATTTTAGAGCAGAATCCTCACTTTGACCTGCAGTTTTTATTCTAATAGTTCTTAGCTGGGGAGGGGGGTGGGTACTGGGGAATGGGAATAGTGTCTTGGGCAGAGTGCCTCTGATCTCTGACCTTTGTCCTTATGGCTAGTGAGTGAGGTGAGTGTTTAGTTTTTTTCTAGGAAAACATTATTCAATCATTAAACTGCTGGGTGAAGAATGTAGAAAAACAGGATTTTTCCCCCTTAATCTCTTCTTGGGCTTCATAGAAGACCTGGAGTGAGAGAAGCGAAAGTTTTTCTGTGGGCCACAGCGAATGGGAAGATGGTGGTGATTTTGCCCCTTCTTAAGAGCATGTCAAGCCTCAGAATGTGCTACATAGACGCTGTTGCATGTGTGCAGTGCTGCTTTCCGTTCTGTTGCTATATTGGCATACATCACTGAAGGGTTGTCAAATATTCCCAATCTGAGAAGGCATATGCCACACAAAAAGGAATTAAAACTTCTGCCGTAAGCTTTCAAGAAATTTATTGGTAGCATTTATGCCTAGACTGGTGTTTGGAAATCCGTTTTTCTTACCCCAAACCTATTTCTCTGTGGGCCTAGGACTCGGGGTGGGGAACCTGCAGGGTCAAGGGCACATGTGGCCCTCTAGGTCCTCAAGTTTGGCCCTTTGACTGAATCCAAACTTCACAGAACAAATCTCCATAATAAAAAGATTTGTTCTCTAAAACTTGGACTCAGTCAAAAGGCTGCACCCGAGGACCTAGAGGGCCACGTATGGCCTCAAGACCGCAGGTTTCCCACCCCTGGCCTAGATGGATTTTTGTAGACATGGAGAAACAAGTCCTCAGCTGGACTTCTGGATATGCCACATACTTTATGGTCCTGTTATACTGGTCTACTTACTGTTCCCCACCGACGACAAGCCATCCCACTTTTCTGACTGTCCCCCCATGCCTGGTGCATCCTCCCCTCCTTGCCTTGGCCTCATAGCATCCCTGGGTTTCTTCGCTTCTGTAGGATGAGGCCTTTCCTGGTTCCCTTGGGAACTGCTTGGGCCTTCTCCTCCAAGGTAATCTTTCTTCTTCACTGTACGTCTCTTGTATGTACCTACTTATTTATATATTGACTTTGCCATTAGCATGGGAGCTCCTTGAGGGCAGGACTGTGTTTTTGCCTTTTTTTTTTTTTAGCCCCCAGCCTTTGCATAATGCCTGGCACCTAGCAGATGCTTGTTGGTTGATCGATTGAAAATGAGGGGGAACAATTTCAGCAGGGGAATAACAGTGGATAGAATGCTTGAGTTGGAGTCAGGAAGACCTGGGTTTGAATCCCCCCTAGATACTAAGTCATTTACTCTCTCTGAGCCTCCATTTCCTCATCTATAAAATGGAATAACAGTAACATCTACAACACAAGGATATTATGAGGATCAAATAAGAATATATGTATATATAAGATTAATTCTCATTTGAGTACATTAGAAATGATCAATATCAAATATCTTCTCATTTTATACATATATTTGTATACATATATAAAGTACAATATAAATATTAACTATATATAATATTCTCATTTGAGTATATTGCAAATTATAAATATTATAGAATTCTAATTTTATATATAGGTATTTGTATGCATATATGAAGTTTGAATTCCCCAATGCTTCAAGAATTCTTATGTGTCCCACTAGACACCATCATCTTCTAAGGCTTCTGTGCCTTAATAGACACTCTATATGAGCTGCTGTGGCAGGAAAAATGTCTTCTGGGCCCTCAACTTTAGGGATTTCCCTCTCTGGGCTTAGCTGGGTTGGTCTGTAAGGGACAGAAATACATTTTGTTGGTGCAGCTGGACTTATGGATTGTTGGTGGAGCCACCCTGTTTACTCTCCACTCACATAAAATCTCTCTCTGAAGTCAAAGTTAAGATCCCATTTCAATAAAATTTTGCCAAGCACGTTGCAGAAGGCTAGTATTGAAGTAGGGTACTGGGTGTGAAATGATAAGAAGAATTCCTACATTTAACACATCAGTGTTATAATAATCAAGGTTTATAAATAAGGCCCTTAAATAATTTTGTAGTGGGGTAGCACCTCATAGAAAGCAAGAGGTTTTTTTTCTCCTCATTTTTTGCCTTTTTTTTGTCCTAGCTTGTGACAGGGAATAGAAAGGGATTAGTTTAAAGAATATCGGTTTTATCCTCTGTTCATCCTCTTTCTGGTGAAATTCCTTGGATAATAAGATAAGCACATAAAAGTCCTAGGCGATGGGCATTTTGCCCATGCTTGGGTTTGGAAGGGAGCCTTCCTCAGGCAAGCACAGCCTTCATTTCTCTTCACTGATCTGCTTTCTCCTAGGTGGATCAAGTTTGAAGAGAAAGTAGAACAGGGTGGTGAGAGATGGAGCAAACCTCATGTGGCCACGCTGTCCTTGCACAGTTTATTTGAACTGAGGACGTGCATGGAGAAGGGATCCATAATGCTGGATCGGGAAGCTTCTTCTCTCCCTCAGTTGGTGGGTAAGTATCCTCCTCTGGTGACCTCTTTTTCTCCCCCACACTTTGGGTAAATGATTTCCAGCAAAAATATAGCCAAACATGTTTTGAAGGGGCCCTTTTTGCCTTGGTTAGACTAACTGTGAGTTAGAAGGCTCTAGACCAGTCGTGGTCCAGGGGGGCTATTCATCTCACCTGGTCTCATGAGAAGTGCATCAGAGACATCTCAATAGTACTATGCGAGACCTGATGAAGATGGTCCTTAACAACCAGGGGCATCACGGAAGGCTTCCTGAAGAAGGTGGCATTTGAAATGGGCTTTAAATGAAATGGGAGAGGGGGTGGGGGGCATCCAAGGGCAGATCTCCCATAAGCAGTTGGAGATGTGGGTCTGGACTAGGCCAAACTGTATCTGAACCAAAATCTCTTCCAGTTCTGGGTAACTCACCACCACTCAAGGCAGCCTGATTGTGTTTCTTTACCAATGTAAAGGTTCAATAACCTAAATCTGCCTCCCTTACACCTTTGGTCCTTTCTCTTCATTCTGCCCCCCAAGGCCAGACAGAATGCTGAAGGCCATTGTTCTTTCCAAATGACATGCCATTCTAGTGGTTGAACATAGCCATCATCCCTCCCCACCCCCAACCCCCATGGGTGGATCTGTAGCTATCAAGATGATCGTTCCATTTTCTTGGGTGATAACACAGCACATGCTACTTGGTTGAGAGAATTTTTCCTCTTTGACAAAGCTGGTGAGACTGTAAAGTAAAAATTGATATGTGGAACAGTGTGGGTTATTGTTTTAAGGACTGGTAGAAAGAGTGAGAGAGAACAAAGAAGAGATGAAGTAAGGGCTTTTGGGGTGACTTTTATCCCCCAAACTTGGCGGGAAGGGAGGTGAATTTCAGAAGTGTTCTGGAGTTGGTGAAAAGACACAGGGTCTGGTTTGTGCACTTGAAAAGTGCGAGCTGAATTCCAGTGTCAGAATTCGTGGTGCTGAGAAACCACGAAACACTGAAGAAGGAAGCGAGCTATTACCTTAAGGGCCTGCCAGTGGGCAGTTCTTTTCTTGGGAGTAAGCTCAACGGGTACCATTCAGACAGGCAACTATAAGTTGACTCTGAAACCCAGATTCTTCATCACACCCTGCTCCCATCCTGGTACTTACTGGGTATGGACTCTAATGAAATATGATCTTTGGCCCTGGGCTAACACAGAAACATCCCCATTTATCACAAGGATGCAACGAGAGAGAGAGAGAGAGAGAGAGCGAGAGTGAGCCAAGGGCCCAGCAAAGTAGCAGACAAAATCTCTCATGCTATTTTTCAAGGAGAAGATGCAGAGGAGTGGGTGGAATTGGCAAAGGGGTGGATTCAAAGAACAGTCACTAAGGGTTTGGTGTTAACTTGCAAAGAGCTCTGGGGTTGAGTGTCTCTGGGATCTGAGAAGGGCCCTGTGATAACAGTTCTGTCAGCAGCTTGGATATTGGCATAGGTGATAAATGTTTCAGATTTACTAATGGCACCGGAAAGCTGGAAATGACAGTTAACATGTAGGAATATACAGTTAGAATTTAAGAAGACCTTAACAGGCAAGAGCGTTGGGCTGAATCTAAGAAAATAAAGCCTAAAAGGGGAAAAATCATTTGTTAAGTGCCTACTTTGCATGAATCACGTGGCAAATATTATCTCATTTGATCCTAGCAACAACCCTATGGGGTGGGTGCTATTATTTTACAGATGAGGAACCTGAAACAGACAAAGGTTAAGTGACTTGCCCAAAATCACACAATTAGTAAGTGTCCAAGGCTGGATTTGAACTCAGGTCTTCTTGATTCCAGGTCCAGCACTCTATCCACTGTGCCACATAACTGCTAGAGTATTGGGCTGGACCTGATGAGATGAGACTTAAAATGTATAGATATAAAGTCATATACTGTACTCGGGCTCAAAAAAAAATCTACTTTGCAAGTCAAAGATGGAAGAGGAATGACTAGACAGTGGTTGACCCTCCCAACCCCTAAATCAGAGAGTTTTAGTGGGCTGTAAACTTGATAGGAATCAATAAAATGATTATTAGAATATTAGATTTGTTAATTATTAAATATTCATTAATATTAGGTTATTAATAGAATAGAAAGAAGACCCCAAAAGCTAATGTTATCTTTGACTACATGAAGAGAGGTAGCGTATCTGGAACTACGGAGGTGGTTGTCCTGTCTTGGTCAGACCAAATATAGGCATGGGTTCTAGAGTTAAGTGAAGATGGAAATGTGAAAGGTTCCCAGAGAGTACCACCTTTCCCTCCAACACTGCAGAAATGTTCTAAAATGCTTCAGAAGGAACAGAGGTCAAGAAAACTGAAGAGAAGGAATAATTTATTCCTCCTTTCAGTCCAGGACTGCACGAGTGGACTGCTAGAGGCTTGAGGGTATTCTGAGCTGAGACAAAACCAGGAGGAGGAAGCCAACACTCTGAGCTGGGACTAAAAGTAGAGGGATCTTTGCTTGGCTAGTTGGAGCAGCAGTGCACAGAGCCAATCCTTCAGGTCATGGCATAGGGAGAGTGGACTGGTCAGCTCCACCAGGAGACCTACGTTCAGGGAACTGACACCTACAACAGAGCCACAAAGGAAGAAATGGCCAACATGGTAACTGGGCAGGCTATGTGCTGGATGGCCACCAAGAAGCCTACAGCCAGCACGTTTGGTGATATAGCACATGGGAAGTCCAGTCTGGAGCCACAGTGAGGGACAGGGCTAGTACATCCCCAGAGCCTATGGATGCTCCAAGAAGTCTGGGCCCATTATTATTGTTGCAATTACCAAAAGAGAACACAACATTTGGGCAGCCCCAGTACCGACCAGCACACTGGGAGCTTTGCAGGAGGCTTATATCCAGCAAAAACTACAGTAATTGGTGAGACTTATCAGGACCTCAGTAGGGGACAGAGATAAATCTTGGTTGGGGATATAGTTTAAGGTAAAGGTGATAGAGATAGGGAAGGGACTAGAACTTGTATTTGCTCACCAGACAATAGACCAAGAAGCTAGGGCATTCTAGGCTCCACTGAGAACTGTGGTGACTTTGTCATCCAGACCATAGAGGGGACAGGACCAAGCTAGGACTGCCTAACCCATCCAAGAGTGCCAGAGAAAGCTGAGTCTGTCTCTGGCACAAAATCCCAATAAAAAACTGAAGCAAAAGATACAAATAAACACAAGAAAATGCCAAACACAATGAATAAATGCTATAAGTTAAGAAAAGTTAAAGAAAAGCCCAGGAGAAGAACATAATTACATAATTATAAGCAGTTCCTCAGAGGGTGAAAAAGAATGGCTTAGCCACAAGAACTCCAAGAGTGTTTGGAAGAAAATAAGCCAGAGCTAAAAAATGAAATGAGAATTGAAATCAGAGCTTTGGGGGGGAAATTGGAAGGAGAAACTTAGAACAGAAGGTGGAAATCATTACTAAAGTAGAGGAACCCCTGAAAAACAAAAGGAGCCATCAGATTTCAAGAGAGTCATGAAACAACAGGGAATATTAGAACAAAGTCAGATGATTGAGCAAGCGAAAGAAAATGAAAGGAATCTTATTAGAGGCACAGCTTTAATGTTAGCCCCTTCCTGGTTCAGGTTTGATGTTGAAATGAAATGAGGTACTTGTAAGTCACTGAACATTTAACATGAGGAGTTTTACTTTGTCCTAACACAACAAGGGTATGCAACAAGGTTAAAGTGACACATCATCTGTGGAGCCAGCCCCTCTCATCTCCACATGGAAATACATCTAGTCATCAATACATAGTAAAGGTATTTGTGTGGACTTCTGGAATCTATCAAGTTAGAGAAGCCTCAACCCCATATGGCTGAGATATTTTATGCCCTTTGATGACCAGGAACCTGGGACCATTCAAGTCCCAGAAGCAGCTTTGTGATAGGCCTCCCCCATATTGGCTGGGTCATGGGGTGTGGGTGAGGTGGAGAAGGAAGTGGTATTATGGAAGCTGGTGCCAATCAGGCCCCAGAGGCAGCTTTGTCTTCTCTTAGGTAGGGCCCCCCTATTGTTGATGGGAGTAAAGAAGTGTCATGGAAATCCTAATCTTATAAGAAATCTATTATCAAAACAACTGACCTAGGAAAAATGTTATAGAGAAATCATTTTAAAATCACTGCACTTCCTAAAAACTGTGATCAAACATAAAAAACCTGGTCATCATATTTCCAGACATTGTAAAAGAAAACTGTTTTAGAGGACAAAATGGAAACAGAAATAATCCAAAATCTTCTGAAAAAATTCCAAATATTGGGAAAGTCATAGGCAAAATCTGGAGCTTCCAGTGAAAGAGATAATACTAAAGCATAAAAGGAAGACCTCATTAACCAAAGAGTCACAGCGAGTATCATATAAGACTGTACTCCAACTGTCATAGAGAAGAGAAAACCTTGAACTAAATTCTAAAAGGCAAAAAGATTTCAAACAAGAATAACTTATTCTGTAAGTCTAAGTATGATTGACAAGGAAAAATGGACCCTTAGTGCAACAGAAGACTTTCAGACATCCCTGGTGAACAAACCAGAGCTGAGTAGAAACTTTGAAATACAAATGCAGGAGTCAAGAGAAACATAAGTCAAGAGTCAAGTACAACAAACACAAGGCTTGGATGTGGCTTTATTGTTTTAATTTCCTTTTAAGAGGGGGAAAGAAGTGGAGAAAATGAATGTGATAGAGAGAAATTGCTATTTTATATGATTGGTGTGTGAAGTTATATAATAAGTGTGTGAAAAAGGTATAGAAATATGAAGGCAAAAATGGCAGAGATGGGTATCACATGAAGCTTGCTCTTACCTGAATCAGACAAAGGAGAACTGAACACATTCAGAATTTGATGTAGAAATGCCTTAAATTCAACAGAGAAATAGGGCTTTAAAGGGTATGGGGAATTTAAAATGCAGGGAAGAATCAGGGAGAGAATAATTACGTGCAAAACAAATGTCGTCTTTGGAGGGTAGGTTGTAAAGTAGGG